AGAGTATCACGAGAAAGAGTGTATCTCAAAGGAGTACAAAAATTAACAAAATCACTAGGGCAACCTAACGAGAGCACTTTAGGGTAAGAAAAGGGACACTCTCTCTCTCTCTCTCTCTCTCTCTCTCTCTCTCTCTCTCTCTCTCTCTCTCTCTCTCTCTCTCTCTCTCTCTCTCTCTCTCTCTCTCTCTCTCTCTCTCTCTCTCTCTCCCTCTCTCTCTCTCTCTCTCTCTCTCTCCCTCTCTCTCTCTCTCTCTCTCTCTCTCCCTCTCTCTCTCTCTCTCTCTCTCTCCCTCCCTCTCTCTCTCTCTCTCTCTCTCTCCCTCCCTCTCTCTCTCTCTCTCTCTCTCTCCCTCCCTCTCTCTCTCACTCTCTCCCTCCCTCTCTCTCCCTCTCTCTCTCTCCCTCTCTCTCTCTCCCTCCCTCTCCCTCTCTCTCTCTTTAATATTTATTTTCTTAAACATTTAATCTTGTACATGTACTTGTACATGATAACACTTAAATTGATGTTCTCTGGCTTTTGAATTTAATTTTGAATTTTGAATTTTGAATATAATCTTTCTTTAACTCAATTTTCAGTTGGTATAAGTACAAGTATACATGTACATGTACATGTATAAGCACATTACCTGCATGTATAATGTGTATATAAATGTACATGTACATTATTTATGACGTATACATGTACATGTACATGCGCATGTATGTGTGTGTTTACTACTATTTAGAGTTGTGCTTTCATTATTTATTATTTTTAAATATTTACTGCATGCCGGCGTATAGTGGTTATTCAGTGTTATATAATGATTTTGTGTTTATTTTTTGCAGAATGTACAAGTACATAGTGTTAAGAATATGAGGCTTAGAGTGTGAATTAATGCAATATTTATGAATTGTCATTAACATACAGTAATAATATGCAAAATGGTTCAAGGCCAATTGCAATTTTTATTACATTTTCTGTTACATATTGATGTACTTATGCTGTATAGAAAGTTTGAGTTGATTCCGACTTGAATTTTTCAAGTTATGGCCATTTTTAAAAATCGGCCAAAATCTGAAAAAATCACTGTACTATAGCCCATGATTTTTTCCAAAAAATGGCTAAAAAATTACCCCCAATTTTTATTGCATTTTCTGATACATATTGATGTCCTTATGCTGTGTAGAAAGTTTGAGCTGATTCCGACTAAAACTTTTTAGGTTATGGCCATTTTAAATAATTGGCCAAAATCTGAAAAAATCCCTGTACTATAGCCCATGGTTTTTTTCCAAAAAATAGCTAAAAAATCACCCCCAATTTTTATTACATTTTCTGATACATATTGATGTCCTTATGCTGTGTAGAAAGTTTGAGCTAATTCCGACTTAAACTTTTTGAGTTATGACCATTTAAAAAGACAATTTCTGAAAAATCCTTGTACTATAGTATAGCCCATGCTTTGTGTCCAAAAAATGGCTCAAAAATCACCTCAAATTTTATCTCTATCACTTTCAATTTTCTCCTTCAGTTCATCTGACTCCTTGCCTATAATTTTATCATCATCATCATCATCATTATTATTACTATTTCTTTGTTTTCTGTTTATCCAACACTCAGTGGGTTTCAGCCATTGTGGCTAGTGATGCAGAAAACATTAGAAGTTGTGTCTGAGAAAAAAGAGAAGTACATAACTTCACTGAATGACATTTATAAAGAGATTAATGATTATGCAAGTAAACAGGACGATCAACTGAAGGGAAAGGTACTAAGGGAGGGAGAGGGGGAGGTGAGGGAGAGGGAGAGGGAGGGGGAAGAGAGAAATATGCGACATTAATTTGAATTTTTTTGGTTTAAAACTTCAAATCCTAAAAGAAACCATTTGGTGTCAACTAGAGTGAGGAGGAATGTAAAGTGAAATGAATGAAAGAGATTATGTTCTCTTTATCATAAAATAACGTTACACGTTCATGTACATATATACATGTACATGTACATGTAAATGAGCTTAGATATCACATGTAACTTAACCACACATACATGTATACATGTACATGAATATGACTATTGAGTGATTTGTTATTTTCTACAATAATTTATTTGCAATAATTTATACATTTACTTGTATCAAGAGTATATAATATATAAAGAGAGTATCGAACGGCCCTATAGAAGACTACTGCATGAGGGCGTATTTGCTCAAAGTCACAATCCGCATACTCCAGTATACTTATCATATCACGTGATCCACCATGTGGCAACATTATCTGGCCCTTAGCTTTTAAAAACTTGGCAATCTCTTCCAATACAAGAAAGGAACTTGAAAGAAGGCTGGAAAGATGAACTACTAAGGTAGTGCTGCTAGTATCCAGGAGTTTGTGCCCCAAGCACTTGTCAACTCGTGACAATGGCAACTCAATGTCTACGCGATAATTATATTCATTGATAAAGTATACTGGAGTATGCTGATTGTGACTTTGAGCAAATACGCCCTCATGCAGCAGCTTGTATAGGGCCGTTCGATACTCTCTTTAATATTATATACTCTTGATAGTATGTACATTTACATTTACATGTACTTCCTATTTTTAGTTACATTTTATTGTTAAAACATTCTCTCTCTCTCTCTCAGTCAAAAGGTGAAATTGACTCTGCGAGCAAAAGTCTTCACAACTATCGTCACTCGACTGAAATTATTCGTAAATCCCGTAAGGCCTACAAAGCCAGCTGTACCGAACTAGCCGAACACCAGAAAGAGCTGGAGAGGGCAAAACTGGACCCGAACCGTGGGAAAGATCTTGAGAAAATGGAGGGAAAGATACGGAAACTCATGGCCCACATGGAGAGCTCTAGTGAGGGGGAGGGGCTTAGAGTAGAGGGCGTGGCTTATCATTATTATTATTGTTGTTGTTATTATTATTATTGTTGTTATTGTTATTGTTATTATTGTTGTTGTTGTTGTTTTTGTTGTTATAGAAACTGATCATCAAAAATCTATTCAGGCTTATCACGAATTTTGGAAGGAGTATGAAGAGAAAATGATACTAGCTTGTAGAGTGAGTTTAGCATACATATACATGTACTGTACATGTAAATGTACATGTATATGTATATGTATAACTGGCTTATTAAGATAATAATTATGTCAAATTTTATAATATGAATGACACTTTAATATTGATTAAATTTGCAAAATATAGAGCTTCCAAAAACTGACTGTAAACATGGGCATGTACATTATATTTTTCATTTCTCATTCTCATTCCTGTTCTCTCTCATTCCCATTCCCTTGTCTGAAATTATAGAAGTTTCAAAGTCTCGAGGATCATCACTTAAAAGTACTGAGAGATTTCCTCACTCGTTTGGCAGCTGTTCACGAAGAAAGTGAGTCCCACGGAGCCAAAGAATTCCGGAGCCTAAAAGAAAAGATAGAAGGATTGACCGTAGAGAAATTATTATCAATTTTTACTAACATAAAGAAAACTGGGACAACCAAACCAGGTTTGTTTAAGCTTTTGTTTTTTAGAAATTTTCCAATTAAATTTTACGATTTGAGAGCCATTATTTAAATAAAATGCCCAAATTTTATTTTAAATCATTAATAGTAGTACTTGACCACAAATTTGTCGGCTTAAAAAATTGTATAAAATATGCAGAAATTTATTTCTTTTTAATATTATATATATTTTCTTTTTTTAAAATTCAGAGTTGACCCAGTTCATACCAATAGAAGTTGATTCCATTCAGCTATCACAGAGTGGGAGTATGGCATCAATCAGCTCCTACACTAAAGGAGGAACAGCCGGAACGCCAGCCGGTAAAACCACCTTCTACATGTACATGTACACATACAACATACATGTAATATGAATGATGAAATACATGTGCAAATGTATAGACAAAAGAAACTTTTTTGAGTCATAAAACTTGAGTATCATTTTATAATGTACATGTAAAAAAACATAATAATAATAATAATAATAATAATAATAAATACCAGAAATACTAACAATAGTATACATGTATGTTGAATTTATATAAATCCAATCACGAAACTTAAGTATCATGTACATTAGTTGTACATGTTTAGTTTTATAAATCTAGAAAAGTTATCACTAATCTACAGTGTTATTTTAAATTAACTGTACAGGCCCATGCACATGTCTTATGAATACAGGTAGTTTGTACAAGTGTCACAAGTGATAACCACAAAGACAGACAACCCACGATAGCCTCAGTCAATCTTTAGACTATAAAAGGTCCCTACTAGGTCACCTGCTCTCTGTCTTCACCGTTGAATTGAATCTGCTACATTTTATATCACTGATGAAAATTTTTGAATGGGCATTAATGCCCTTCATCTTATTTTGAACTGAATAGAAACAAATTATTGACACTGTACACTATATATGCATGTACATGTATAATGCTTTTATACTGTATAATGTAAATACATGTGGCGGCATGTTTTATTGGATTTATCCACACGAGCTTCCGGTTGAGTCGCTAAAAATAGCGCACTCGGTCGAGTGCACTATTTTTAGCAACTCAACCGGAAGCTCGTGCGGATAAATCCGATAGAACAAACGCCCCATCTATTAACTATTATCATTATTAATATTTTTGTAATATTACATGTACTTTTGTAATGTTCAGTTAACATGTACATGTATATGTAAAAAAAACATGCATGATGCTTTTGTACATGTACATGTATGTGTAAAAGTACATGTATATTGGTTGTGATTGAAATTGAAATGCCACTGGTGACTATACTTGTGTGGTACTGTCAATAATGATGTTTACTCTCTACACGTACAATGAACATGGTCATGTCATTTTGTTTCTGCTTCATTAAAGGTTATATTCTTTCTCTTTCTTTGTTTGAGTCATAAAACTTGAGTATTATTTTTTGTATCATGGGAAGCCATAAGATGAAAGGCACCGCGTTGGGTTTATATCTGGTACCGGTAGACGATCACTTCCGGTGCAATATACATATTTACCAGGATGTGACATAGCTATGATTAAAGGCACCGACAGTGCAATATATATATTTCACCGGAAGTAATGCATGGCTTGTTCAGTTGTGATAACAATGATAACAAAAGGTCATTTGTAAAACAGCAAAATATGTTATTAATAAAAGATTTTGTAAATAAACTGATATAATAGTAGTCTTTATTCTGCAAAGATCGATTGAATTGCATAAAACAGCAAAATATGTTATTAATAAAAGATTTTGTAAATAAACTGATATAATAGTAGTCTTTATTCTGCAAAGATCGATTGAATTGCATGCCCATTATATTCCAGAATGATTTCAGTCATCGCGACGACCTTTTATCAACAAGTGTAGCTCCTACTAGTCAATTTGAGATGAATTCTGTACCTCTAGAAACATCTAAAGAGTATTCTTTACTGCTAGTAACATTTTTACCACCATACCGCCGTTGAGTAAGTACCTTCATATCTCTATTAGTGTCCAAGGGTTCAAAACCTGTACTAATTTCTTCCATTTCATCAGCACTAATGAAGGCTAACCTTTATTGAGCGCTTTACACATTTTCATTCGCTTCTTTTGCTGCTTTTTCTCGTCGTGGTTCTCCTTCTCCTTCAGCCATATTGGTCCCTTACAGTTGTACCACGTGCTACTGAGCATGCGCATAACCTTTTCTTTCTTATGGCTTCCCATTATACAAGCAATAATAGAACATGACCTTTCCCTCGTGGGTGTATCAGATATACACCACTCAGGGTCATGTTCTATATATTACATAAAAAACATAATAATAATAATAATAATAATAATAATAATAATAAATACCAGAAATACTAACAATATTAATATACCGGTATTATGTTGAATTTATATAAACCCAATCACGAAAATTAAGTATCATGTACATTAGTTGTACATCCATGTACATGTTTAATTTTATAAATCTAGAGAAGTTATCACTAATCTACAGTGTTATTTTAAATTAACTGTACACGCCCATGCACATGTCTTATGAATACAAGTAGTTTATACAAGTGTCACAAGTGATAACCACAAAGGCAGACACCCACGATAGCCTCAGTCAATCTTTAGACTATAAAAGGTAGCATAACAGAACGAGTAATGAAAATTTTTGAACGGGCAGCAATGCCCTATCTTATTTGAACTGAACAAAAACAAAATAAATTACAATGGATACTGTATACATGTACATGTACATGTATAACGATTTATACTGTATAATGTATTATTATTATTATTATTTTATATAATTATTAATAATTTATAAAACGAATGAAGAACGCTTAGATGTAGGATAATATTATTAATACAGTACTATTGCAATATTTAAGTTAAGATGTACATGTAAAAAAGCATGCATAATGCTTCTGTATGTGTAAACTACATGTACATGTACATGTATGTATGGGTGTGAATGAAATTGAAATGCCACTGGTGACTGTACTTGTGTGGTACTGTCAATAATCATGTTTACTCTCTACTTGTATGTGAATTAGAAAACATGGCCATGTCATTTTGTTTCTGCTTGATTTGAGGTTATACCCTTTCTCTTTCTTTGTTTATCAATCTACATGTATGTATTCCCTCCCCCTCCCTTTCTCTCTCTCTCTCTCTCTCTCCCTCCCTCCCTCTCTCTCTCCCTCCCCTCTCTCTCTCTCCCTCTCTCCCTCTCTCTCTCCCTCCCTCTCTCTCTCTCTCTCTCTCTCCCTTTCCCTCTCCCTCTTTCTCTCCCTCTCCCTCCAGAGGTTAAAAAGGTAAAGAAGAAAAAAGAAAAGAAAACGACAAAGAAGACCAAACCTCCGCTGCCTTCTACAACCACCAACTCACAGAGAGCCACACCCGAACAGACCCCGCCCCCTAATAAAGACGAGGTGAGACCCCGCCCCTCTAATTAATGCTTAATCTGTGCTTTAATTAGAACGTCGACGAGGAGGGTTTCACGATAAGACCCAAGGATGCAGATAAGATTGCGAAATTCTCAGACGAAGAGTCTCCGAGTGATTCTGATGATGACAGCGATTTTGATCCAGGTACATGTACATGTATACATGTACACACTTGTACATGTAATTATAAAATACTTTATTAATGTACATGTACATGTACATACACGTACATGCATTTCAGAATTTGAGCTGATTCTAATTTTTGTGACATGCAATTTTCCAATGGCCTTATGGTACATGTACAGTCAAACCTGTCTATTCCAGACACCTTGGGACCCAATAATACTGTCCTGATTATGAACCTGTCCTTATTTCAGAGGTTCATTAATACACATTACTATTGTATTGGGACTGATACTACCTGTCCTCATTATAGAGGCCTCCTTATTCTAAACTGTCCACAATAGGAGGAGGTTATACTGTACATGTAATTCTAATTGACATTATACATGTACATGTTTGTTCTATAGATCCTGGTAAGAAGATACAGGCTGTTGTCATAAAGGACAATCCGACTGTCTCGTCAACAGTTAGTGTTGATGAGCTCAGTAAAGTGGCTAAGAGTCTTAAACTGGAGGCACCTCCTGCTTCTTTATCAGCTGGACTCATGAGAAGAGCTGGAAGCTCTCATTCACTAGATGGTAAGAAAAAAATAATAATAACAAATACAATGTAATGATAGTTTAAATAAATTGCATCAGTTATAGTTGCATTTTTTGGAAAAAATTTATTTCTGTACTTTTTGGCTGATTTTTCAATGATTAAGCTAAAGTACCGTATACGGCATATATTTTGCAGGTATAAAATTTCGCAATTTTTCTATTCGCGAATAAAAATTTTCGCGATTTAATGTAATTACCACACCTACTATAGAATCAGCACGCTATTTTGCAAATTTTAATTTCGTGAATTTTTCCAAAATGCAAAAATCACGAAAATTAATCCCCGCAAAATATATGCCGTATACGGTATAATTTGTTAAAATTGGCTAAAATTTAAATTCTTGGAATTACATTGGGACATGTACATGTACAATCTACAAGCTCTTCTCTCTTTATTTTTTCTCCAGTTCATTCCACGATGTCGCTGACCCCCCAGTTACGTGAGAAGTCCCCAGCAGGCAGCCAATCACTCTTCAACCAGCCGACAGACCTCGTTCCATCGTCCCCGCCCCCTTTCAACGTATCAGCCCCGCCCACTTTTCCCACTAATTTCACGGACTCTCTCCCTCCACTTCCGCCCCCGATGACTAATAACTGGGCCAGTTTCTCATCTCCCGAGGCCACACCCACAAATACCCTCACGCCCGAAACTTCCGTGACGGCCTCGATAACTCCGCCCATCGATCAAAGTTCCTCGTTGCCGATAACCCCATCAATTGCCCCGCCCACTTCCGATAAATCCGATACCAGCTCCCTTGATAAAGGTAGTCGTGGTGCATCCCCAGTGATGGCTCTTAAAATGGGGTCGTTATTACCGCCTCCACCTGGAGGCCCTTCCCACCGCCCACGCCTTAACGAGGGTTTAAAATCGGAGCCAACGTCTCCCATGATGTCTGTTAGGGGTATTTCTCCTCCTGGAGGGAGAAAGTCTCCACGTACTAGCTCAGGCTCGTTGCATGACTCCGCCCATATTTCGCTGTCTCCGTTGGCGACCGTTCGTCAGTCTGTTGGTGGGGGTGGGGCTAGTAGCGATAAGGTTGTTCCGATTGCGGTCGCTTTTCAGGAAACTTGTAATGCCATTTATAAAGGAAGCGATTTATCAAAGTAAGGAATTCTCTCTCACTCTCTCTGTCTCTGTCTCTGTCTCTCTTTCTCTCTCTCTCTTTTCCCCCCTCTCTCTCTTCATATCTTTGTTTCCCTTTCCCTCTATTTTACCTTTTTACTAAACCCTCCTCTCCTCCTCCTCAGGACTATTGTTAAAGTGACTGGTCAAATGGATTTCTCTTTTCCCTCGTCCTTCATTCCTGCCCTCTCCTCCCACCCTCCTCTCAAGTTCTCCCTTAAGAGTACTGATAAGATACGCTCAGGAACCATTCTCCACAACCAGAACCTCATCACACAGTAAGTGAGATATTGTACTGTATGTACATGTACATGTACACTGATGCAGATGTAATCTATACAAAGGTGCATGTAATCACTCCCAATTTTTATTACATTTTCTAATGCATATTGATGTACTTATGCTGTGTAGAAAGTTTGAGCTGATTCAGACTTAAATTTTTCAAGTTATGGCCATTTTTAAAAATTGGCCAATTTTTGAAAAAATCCCTGTACTATAGCCCATGGTTTTTTCCGAAAAATGGCTCCAAAATTAACCCCAATTTTTATTGCATTTTCTGATACATATTGATGTACTTATGATCTGTAGCAAGTTTGAGCTGATTCAGACTTAAATTTTTCAAGTTATGGCCATTTTTAAAAATTGGCCAATTTTTGAAAAAAATCCATGTACTATAGCCCATGGTTTTTCCAAAAAATGGCTCCAAAATCACCCCAAATTTTTATTACATTTTAAAATGCATATTGATGTACTTATGATCTGTAGAGAGTTTGAGCTGATTCCGACTTAAATTTTTAAAATTATGGCCATTAAAAAAACTTGCAACTTTGAATAAAGCATGGACTATAGCCTATAAAATTGGCTCCAAATATTTTGCTTAGTTTTATTACTATTCTTTTATTGCTTTCTCCATGTTAGGGAAGGAGATAACGTCTATGTATTTCAGATGTCAAAGCTGGTTCCGTTTTTAAAAGACTCAGCAAGTAAAAATGTGCTACCTTTTCACAACGTCCAGGCTCTGAAATATGAAGTAATAAGAGATGGAGAGATTGAGATGAATATTATACATGTATACATGTACATGTACATGCATATTACATGTTTCGCGAACAAATTTTAATTCAAATTGGATTTGCTATGAATTTTTAGTATTTGTTCTAAAAGCCATATGCTTTAATTAGTATGAGACTTTTCAGTTCATGAAGCTCATGCTTTAGAGCTCATTAATCTTGCCAATACTTTGTGGAAATTAAACCCTGTTATATACATGTATGTGTACATGTTTTTATATAGTAATTTTAAAGAGGTAAAACTTTATTTGGTGAGTTTTAATTTGGCAAATTTGTAGTGTAATGGTTTAACTTTAAAATGGCAATTTATTATGTACATTTATATTATTTATATTTTCTTCTCTCTCTCTCTCTCTCTCTCTCTCTCTCTCTCTCTCCCTCTCCCTCTCCCTCTCCCTCTCCCTCTCTCTCTCTCTCTCTCTCTCTCTCCCTCTCCCTCTCCCCCCCCCTCTCTCTCTCTCTCTCTCTCTCCCTCTCCCTCTCTCTCTCCCTCTCTCTCTCCCTCCCTCCCTCCCTCTCTCCAGGTTAATATCAGTGGTAGTAATGGTCTCCCTCTACAAATGACTTCATTCTGGAAGTGTGAATCATCATCAACTGTATTCAGATTGGACTATACTTACACTCCGGATGTATTCCCATCAAAATCAAAACCGAACCTCACTAATCTATCAGCTACCGTTACTGTAGGGGGCGGAGTCACTAGTGCCGATCCTCAGCCAAAAGGGGCATGGTCTGATGATAAGAGTACGATGGTCTGGAAGTTGCCAGACGTCTCATCTGATAAGGAAATCGGTAGGTACTATAGTACAGGGCATTAAAAAGAAAGACTAGGAGAGAGTTCTCCATTTTCTGATACGCACATGTACATGTATTTTGTATAATGTAC